CCCAGAGTTCAAGCCCCATAACCGAAAAATTAAAAAAAAAAAATCCTTGGTAGAGTCATGTGTAAGGTAAGAGCAATGAACACTGAAAGAGGCACAAGAGAACTTCTCTTTCTGGATTCCACACAAAAACCTGACATCTTAAGTTCCTGATTTCCAATAAAGACCTTGAGCCCCACGAGAAAACTGTATTACTTGGCTCAAAAAATCAGCTAAAAAATTAAAGTACAGGGGCCAAAAAAGTGGCTCAGTGGTAGAGTGCTTGCTTTGCATGCATGAGGCCCTGGGTTCAATTCCTCAGCACCACATAAGCAGAAAAAGCTGGAAGTGGTGCTGTGGCTCAAGTGGTAGAGCGCTCACCTTGAGCTGAAGAGCTGAGGGACAGCACCCAGGCCAAGTTCACGCCTCATGACCAACAGAAAAAATTTAAAAAAAAAAAAAAAAAAAAACCTACAACCATGATTAATCTTAACTATATCCAGGTCTTTTTAAAGATTTACGAAAGTACAATAAGTCATCATGTTTGGTGGGGTGCCTATGGGTCACGCCTATAATCCTAGCTACTCAGGAGGCTAAGATCTGAGGATCCAAGTTCAAAGCAGGCCAGGGCAGAAAAGTCCCTATAAAACTCTTATCTCCAATTAATCACCAGAAAAAACCAGAAGTGGCGCTGTGGCTCAAGTGGTAGAGCGCTAGCCTTGAGCTGAAGAGCTGAGGGACAGCGCCCAGGCCCAGAGTTTAAGCCCAACGACCAACCAAAAAAAGGGCAAGGACTGTGTGTGCCTTCAATCTCCCTGGGTACATTTTCTAGGAAAACTGTCCTACTTTAGAAGTCTGATATCCGGGAGGCAAAGCATCATTAAAAAACAAGTAATATTGCACTTTCTATTATCATAGCATTCTTGCACAATAGCCAACTACAGTGACCTCTTAAACCCTAGGAGAGATGCACAGGTGACCTAGACAAGCTTTCCAAAGCCCCCGGGACCAGCAGGACAGGCTGCTGCAAAACTGTCCTCAACTCCACGAGGCTGTAGGTTCATCTCAAGGAGCTAAACAAAGAGAACTTTGTTTACAACAATCTGTCTATACAGTATCAAAACACTATCATCACCATATCAAAACAGAAAGTTACACTCCTAAGGAAAAAAAAAAATCTTCTAAAACCTTAAAATTCCTTTCAAGGTAAACACAACACTCTACTATGCTGAAATTATGATGAAAAAATTGTTCTAGCCAGGCACTGGTGGCTTATGCCTGTAATAACTCCTAGGAGGCTAAAAATCTGAGGATCCGGGAAGGTGGCTCAGTGGTAGAGCGCTTGCCTTGCATGCATGAGGCCCTGGGTTCAATTCCTCAGCACCACATAAGCAGAAAAAGTCGGATGTGGTGCTGTGGCTCAAGTGGTAGAGTGCCAGACTTGAGGTGAAGGGCTGAGGGACAGCGTTCAGGCCCCATGACCGACAGGAAAAAAAAAAAACCTGAGAATCCCAGTTTGAAGCCAGCCAGGGCAGGAAACTCCATGAGACTCTTATTAACCACCTGAAAACTGGAAGTGGTGCTGTAGTTGAGGGCTAGCTAGCCTTGAGTAAAAAAGCTCAGGGTTAGCACTTAAGCTCTAAGTTCAAGTCCCAAGACCAACCAAAAAACAAAAACAAAAACAAACTCAGATCCTCCTGTAAGTGAAAACATATGGCTATTAAATAGCTATGATCTGAGTTAACATCCTTCATAGTAACTTTCTTTTTTTTTTCATGGTCTCTTCTGCCCGGGCAGGCTTTGAACTGCGATCCTCAGATCTCAGCCTCCTGAGTAGCTAGGATTACAGGCGTGAGCCACCAGCGCCCGGCTACATTGTAACTTTCTAATAAAGAAACACACAAAATATGTTTAACCAAAGTACAAACACCACAACCACCACAAACTTATCATGAATGTTTACATTGCTTTAGAATACAAACTCTAACTAGAGGATTAGTTTTACTTTGACAAACACAGATAAACAATTTGGGGGTTTTGCTGTATCTTAAAAGGCATACTTTTGCAGGCAGTGGCTTAAGCCTGTGATCATCTAAAAGCCTGAAGCAGAGTTGTGGCTCAGGTGGCAGAGCACTAGCCCTGAACACAAAAGTTCAGGGAGAGCAACCAGGCCCTGAGTTCAAGCCCCAGAACCAGAACCAAAACTAAAACAAAGTATATTTTCTTCAGGAACTTAAATTAACACTGCCTCTCCTAAAAAAAAAAAAAAAAAATCAAAGCCCCTTATTAATAGCCATCTACAGTTTATCTCTAATAGACCTAAGTGTCCATTAACTTTTTGGTCTAAGTAGATTGATGATAAACTGAGTATCACTCCCCACATAAAAAAATGAGTTGACAAAGAATGACTTGACAAAGGATGAGACAGCTTAAATTGAAAATTACAAAATCAAGCTGGGGGCCTGTGGCTCACACCTGTAATCCCAGCTACTCAGGAGGCTGAGAGCTGAGGTTTGAGGTTCAAAGCCAGCCAACCCGGCCAAGAACATCCATAAGACTCTTATCTCCAATAAACCACTCAGAAAACTGGAAGTGGCGCTGTGGTTCAAGTGGTAGAGCGCTCCCCTTGAGCTGAAGAGCTCATGGACAGCGCCCAGGCCCAGAGTTCAAGCCCCACGACCATCAACAACAACAAAAAACAGCAAAAAGCTGGCAGGAAAAGACATGGCTCAAGTAGTGGAGCTCCAACCCAAGCAAGCATGAAGCACTGAATTCAAACCACGGCAGCAAAAGAAAGGGGTGAAGGGGAAGAGAATTGGCTTTAGAGTCGAGCATGGGGACTCCTGACTGTAATCCCAGCACTGGAGAGGCAGAGGCAGGGTCCAAGCCAGGCTGAGCTGCACATCAAGACCTTGTCTCACAAAGAGTAGCAAGGGCGAAAATTACCTTCAAGCTTGACGGTTGAGATTACCCTTTTTCCCTAGAGTACAATAGTCAAGTGTATACACTGTTACTTCTGAAAGTCATAAAAAAAAAAAACAAAAAACCTGACGTGTCAGATGTTCCTTGAATGAAACATGATAGACTTAAAGAACATTTTCTTTCTTTGCCTTACTCCCAGAATCTTGTTTTAATTGCTGGCACAAATGAGGACACCCTAAAAGCTGTAATTGATTTATGAAGAATCCAGTGAGGTGATTAAGATCTGAAGACAATTCTACAAAACCATTACAGACCGGCCGGGCGCCGGTGCTCACGCCTGTCATCCCAGCCACTCGGGAGGCTCGCGGTTCAAAGCCAGCGCGGGCAGCCAAGTCCGAGAGACTCTTCTCTAATGAACCACCAGAAAACCGGAAACGGCGCTGTGGCTCAAGTGGTAGAGCGCTCGCCTTGAGCTGCGTGGCCGGACAGCGCCCAGGCCCCGAGTTCAAGACTCACTCCCGACAAAAATAAACAAATACTTAAAGCTCGGTATGGACAATTAAACATTCCAACGAATCCAAAGCGTAAGACAGAGCTCCACTTATCCAGTACCAAGAAGGGGTGCAAGTTACGCTCCAACGAAAAGGATTCAGAACGACCCTGTGGGACTGAGGCACCCCACCTTTAGGGTCTGAGCAGGCCGAGGAGGGCAAGGCAGCTCACGCCCGGAACTCGTGGACGCGGGCAGAAGTTGCGTGGCATTTCGTTTCGGACTTCACTAAACGCCACCCAAAGAGGCGGCGGCCCGCGGGCCGGGCGGGGGCGCGGGAGGCTTCGGGCCGGACCCGGCGCTCCCCGCGCCCAATTCCTTCAAACGCGGACTCGCCCGGCTCGCGAGCTTGTGAGCGAGAATCCCGCGGAGAGGCCTGCGGAGGATGGGCACCAAAATCCGGGCCTCGCCTTGGGAAGCCCCGGAGGTCAGCGCGCGGAGGGGGCCGCGGCGGCGCGGGTGGCCCGGGGGCGCCGGGACGCTCCGGCGTGCCCTTGGAAGGCGCCGGCGCTCCCTAGGTTAAGGGCACGGCCACAATGGAGCCCAGTCGGCCGGTTGGCATCGGCCTCTCCATTTGAACACTACGCGTTTTCTTAGCTCGTGAAACACGAACTGACAACCGCCCCGCCCCGCGCGGGCCTCCCGCACACGCCCTCCAGAGCCGGCCCCGCTCCCGCCGCGGCCCGGCGAGGCCGCACCTGCGCCTCCACTCACCTTCGGGGACGCCCGCCGTGCGCCCCGCCGCCCGCGAGCTCGGAAACCCGGGCGGGGGCGGGGAGAAAATGCGCAGCGCGCCGGCGCCCCGCCGCCCTCGCCCACCACAATGCACCGGCGCCCCGGCCGCCGCGCGGCACTGCGGCCCGGCCGCCGCCGCCGCGCCCCGGAGGCCCCGCGGGGTGGGAGGGAGGCCGCGGGGTGACCCGGCGCGCCCGCCCCGGCCCTCGGCGGGGGAGGGCGGCTCGCTGCGGAGACGCCACCCGGCGCCACCGGGCTCGAGTTCGGGAGCCCCCGCCGCCGCCTCACGTCCACGGGGGAGGGGAGCCGGGGCCGCCGCCCACCCACCTCGCCCGTCCTCCCGCCGGCCCGGGGCACGGGGGAGGGAGGTGGAGGACTCGGGGTAACGACCCGGACGGGGGCCGGGCACGGGGGACACTGCCCTCCCCTCCCTCCCTTCCTCCCTCCCCGGAGCCCCAACGTGGGGCGAGGCCGGGGCGTTCACGTTCCAGCAGGGGGTGCGGACCCCGCGCCCCCCGCGCCACCGGGGACGGGGGGGGCTAAAAGGAGGAGGGGGGGGCTGGCGGCCGCGGGGCTCCGCGCTGCCCGGCTGCACCGAGGGTCCCTCCATCTTGACCGCCTGGGGGAGGGGACCCCGCCTGACACCCGCGGAGGCGCCCCGCACCCCGGGCACCGCTCCAGCCGCCGCGCGCAGGCCCCCCGGCCCGCGCCCAGGCCGGCGGCTCACGGGCAGGGCCGGCGGCGCGGGGGAAGGGCCGCGAGGCCCCGGCTCGGCCAGGCCCGGAGCCGGGGAGGGGGCTAGGGCACCGACACCCACCTGCCCAGGCCGGGCCGCCCTCCGCCTGCGCCGACCGCCGCGGAGGAGGAGGAAGAGGAGGAGGAGGAAGAGGAGGAGGCGGCCGCGGCCGAGGACGACGAGACCGAGGTCGGGGCCGGCGCGGCGGCGGGCGACGAGAGGAGGCCGGGGCCGCCGCCGGGCTTGCGGGCACTGGCGGCCGCGGGTGGCGGCGGCGGCGGCGGTGGCGGCGGCGGCTGCTGCTGCTGCTGCGGCTGCTGCTGCTGTTGCGGCTGCTGCTGCTGCTGCTGGGGCTTCAGCGACATGGCGAGCGGCCCATGCACCGGCTCGCACGCCGGGCGGGGAAAGCCGGGGGCCGGGCGCGCCGAGACGACGCCGGAGCGCGGCGGGGACGCGCGGGCGCCGAGCGGGGCGGCGCGGGGCGGCGCGGCCGGGGGGGCGAGGGGCAGGAGGAGGACGACCAAGGGGCGGGGAGGCCCGCCGAAGCCGAGGAGCCGCGGGGAGCCGGGCAGGGACGCGCCGCCGCCGCCGTGGCCGTTGCTACCAAAACAGTCTGAGGCGGAGGGAGGCGAGCGCGGCCCGCGGGGAGGGGGGCCGGGGCCGCGCGGGGGAGGGGCGGCGGAGGGATACGCGGCCGCGCCGCCCCTCCCGCCGCGCCGCGCCGTCCGCGGGAGCGAGCGCCGCCCGGGACCGCCGCAGGCGGCGGCGACGGCGGCGGCACGGCGGCGAGGCTCGGGGGCCGCCTCTGGACCCCGAGGAGCTGCGGCCTCCGAGCGCATCGGAGCCGGCCGTGGCGAGGCGCTGGGCGCGGAGGTGCGGGCTTGGGGACTCTTTACCGGAAGTCGGAAGGGTCAGGCGGAAGTAGAACGTGAGGCGGTCCAGGGCCCGGGAGGGACACGTGAGGAGCGGGCGCCGCGCCGGGCCGCGTTCGCGGGGGTCGGGCCTGAGCCCAGCGGCCGGGCCTGCAGGGATCCGCCCTCCGTGAGCCGGGCCTGCCCTTCGGGGAGGGCGTGGCGGGCTCGCCCGGGTCCCCCGGCCTCCCGGGGCCGGCCTGGCACGGACCGAGCGGTCGCGGCGCGGCCCGCTTCCCCGCGGTCTCCTTCAGCGTCCTCCGCCTCCTCGGAGGACCTCGTTTGCCCCCACCTGATGCAACCCCGAGCCGGGCCCGCGGGCGCCTTCGGGGCGGGGACGAAGGCTCGCGACGCACCGGGCCGGGACCGAAAGGACGCGACGTCGCCCCCCCCGCCCCCCAGTTGCCTTTGTGTCCCCGGCGCACAGTAGGTCCCCCGTGTCTCCGCGAGTGGCCCGGCCGAGACGAGCTGAGCCACACACTCACTCCCACTCAACCCGGGGCCAACTCCAGCTGGGTAACTTTTCTCCACTTTTTCCACCCCAGCAACACAATACCCAGAAAACTCTTTGGGGCATCTGACCTTCATTTGAACCCATTTTCCCTCACTTGAACTTCTTTTTCCTCATTCATGAGACTGAAAAGGAAATGACGTGATTGGTAGAGCGGTGGGTAAATGGTGTGGGGGGGGGGTCTCACTTTGGATAAATGGGGTCTCCCTCAGTGCAGTCAAACAGAACTCACACACACAAAAAAAGTGAACTTTAGACTCTTAATCCCTTTAGAAGTTTTACTTTAACTTACGGAGCCAGCCAGCTCAGTAGTGTTTTTAACTTTAGCCTCTTCAAAAGTGAAATTACCTCAGGAAATAATAAGGGGGGGGAGGGGAGACAAAATTCCCCCGCAGTGTGTAAGATTTGTCCAGATAAAAGACCTAGAAAAACTTGGAAGTGATTAAACCAGAAGTCTGCAATTAAAATTTAAAATTGGAACTAAGCTGCAGGCCAAGTTAAATGCTTGCATATAACAAGCTTTGGAAAAGCAGGAACTCTGAAATCATCTTTCTTTCCCTGCTACAGCAAAAGGAAGACTGAGAAGAGAAAGATGGTATTCCTTGTAAAAACCCAGTTGTTAAAACTTAAAGAAATACAGCTTAGAAGAAATTGGAAAGAAAAATCTAGATAAGAAAAACAAACAGAAAATAGATTTGTATTTGTACAGTGACTTTCCTCCGATTTAATTATTTGACCGACATTTCTGAGCCCAAGTTCCCATGATTCCATGGAAGGACCAAGTTCCAAGCACAGGAGACAAAAAAAAGAAAAAAGAAAGACCTGTGGAAAGTCCAAAAGTGATAGAACTGAATTTAATTTTTTTTTGTCAGTCATGGGGCCTGAACTCTGGGCCTGGGCGCTGTCCCTCAGCTCTTCTGCTCAATGCTAGCACTCCACTACTTGAGCCACAGTGTCACTTCCAGCTTTTTCTGCTTTTGTGGTGCTGAGAAATCGAAGCAAGGCCTCATGCATGCAAGGTAAGCACTCAACCACTGAGCCACCTTCCCAGCCCTGAATTTAATATTTTTTAGGCTGAGAAAACTCAAGTTTTGACCCACTATTATTGGGAAACAAAGTTAATCTTACTAAGGCATAATTTACCTACTATGAAGCTCACACATCAACACACATACTTACCAAGTACTAAGAATTGAACTCTAGGCCTTGCACTTGCCATACAGGCACTCAACACCTGAAGCCACTTCACCAACCCTTTTTGTGTTGGCTATTTTTTGAGTTAGGGTCTTATTTTATGCCTCAGTGGGCTTGGACCACCATCCTCCTAGTTGTGATTTTGTGATCCCAGCTGGGATGGTAGAATTGTCCTTCACCACCCAACCCTTGGGTTAAGATGGAATGTTAAGAACTTTTTTTTTTTTTCTAAACGCAAACTGACCTCAAACCATGATAGCTCAGATTGCAGGCTGGAGCCACTGCTCCTGTCTGAAACTCACCCACTTTGTGTATCATAATGAGTCTCAAGAGGCATAAAGCACTCCTACTAATGTCATTGCCAGAAATCCTGTGTGACCATTTACAATTACTCCTGGTTCTCATTCTCAGACTCAGTCAATCACTATCCTGCTTTCTGTATGAATACAGGCTTCTCTGTTCTTCATATTTCATATAAGTGGAATCTTGCTATATAGGTGGCCTCTTGTGTGTCTTCCTTCACTTAACATTGGTTCTGTTGTGTTCTGTATCAGTGTTTCATTCCTTATCATTGCTGAATAGTACTTCACTGTGTAAACATGTATTTTGTGTCCCTCTTTGGTACTTGATGAGACTTTGATGGTGCCACTTTTTTCTTTTTGCTATTATGAACAGCACTGCTGTGAATATTTGTGAGCATATGTCACGTAACCACGTGAACACATGTTGTAGGTCCTTTGGCACTCAATGCTTCCATGTCTCTCAAGTAGTCTCCAATGAAAGGAATTATTGGGTAGTAAGCTATTTTTTTTTTTGAACTTTTGTCAGATCCTTTCCAAGGATATCGTGTCATTTTGTTTCTTTTCTTTTGTTTTTTTTCTTTTGGTCAGTCATGGTATTTGCACTCAGGGCCTTGAGCTCTTATGCTCAAGGCTAGCACTATACCACTTTGAGCCAAAGCACCACTTTCGGTTCTTGGGTGGTTAATTGGAGAAAAGAGTCTCATAGGGACTCTTCTGCCCAGCCTGGCCTTGAACAGTGATCCTTAGATCTCAGCCTCCTGAGTAAGATAACAGATGTAAGTACCCAGCTACTGTGTCATTTTCTTTTTTTTTTTGGTCGGTCGTGGGGCTTGAACTCTGGGCCTGGGCGCTGTCCCTCAGCTCTTCAGCTCAAGGCGAGCGCTCTACCACTTGAGCTACAGCACCACTTCCGGTTTTTCTGATGGTTTATTGGAGATAGGAGTCTCATGGTCTTTCCTGCCCAGGCTGGCTTTGAACCGCGATCCTCAGATCTCAGCCTCCTGAGTAGCTAGGATTACAGGCGTGAGCCACCAGCGCCCGGCTACTGTGTCATTTTCTATTCACACCAAATATTTTCACGTTTACCATAAAAATTGATTTCTTCTTTATATTAAAATGGATACTGATAGTTTCAGCCAGGAAGGAGGTATAGAGATGGGAGGATAAACATTGAAGGCCAGCAGAGTCAAAAAGAAAAAAAAAAGTTACTGCAACCATATCTGCAAAAACAAGCAGGGGCTGGGAAGGTGGCTCAGTAGTAGAGTGCTTGCCTTGCATGCATGGGGCCCTAGGTTCGATTCCTTGGCACCACATAAGAGAAAAGGCTGGAAGTGGCTCAAGTGGTAGAGTGCTAGCCTTGAGCTGAAGAGCTGAGGGACAGCGCCCAGGCCCAGAGTTCAGGCCCCATCACACACACACACACAAGTGGGGCATTGTGACTCATGTCTTTCACTTCATCTGTGGTAGAACTTGAGATAGGAGGATCTCAGTACAAGGCCAAAAGCACCAGACCAAAAACATGAGACTGTATTTCAGATAAAAATAAACTACAAGCAAAAAGGGTAGTGACTTTTTCAAGTGGTAGACTTCTTACCTAGCAAGCATAAGAGACCCAGAGTTCAAATCCCTGTTACAGGGAAAAAATTGGAAATCGAATAACTTCCAACAACAATGTAATCCCAGCATAGTCGGAGGGAGGAAGATTATGAGTTCAAGGCCAGCCTGGCTACATAGACAATGTCATAGAATTTAGAAAACAAAAAAGCATGGAGGGCCTGGGAATGTGGCTTAGTGGTAAGAGTGCTTGCCTAGCATGCAAGAAGCCTTGGGTTTTCTTCCCACTACCAAATACATGTAAAAAGCCAGAACTGGCACTGTGGCTCAAGTGGTAGGGTGCTAGCCTTGACCAAAAAGAAATCTAGGCCCAGAGTTCAAACCCCAGGACTGGAAAAAAAAAGCATGGAGAAAGACTCTCAGATCTAGGAATTTAGTCCTAAGGATTTTTTACTTGCTATCTGATTTTCAGTGGAGCAAAACAAGGGACATGACCATGTTATTAGCCTGTGAAGTTTCAGGACTTCAATGATTAGTCAGAGCTCAGCATCTGGAGATGACAAACAACAAGGCAGAAATACCAAGAGTGATTTCAACTCCATGGGCCCTATCACATGACTTAATCCCTAGCAGTGACTTCGTTGCAATCATTTCTTTTCAGCTCACTCTGTTTTGTGTTTAATATATGATAATACATTATTCAATGGTCTTGATTTCACTTTCAAAATCATGAAAATTAAATCAAAACTAACTTGCACACTCCTCCCCCCCAAAAAAAAAAGTCCATCCTCTTCAAGTTTTTGTATGGACCAATCATCTTAAAAAAAAAAAAAAAAGAGCAGATGTAATTTCAAAAATAGAACCATAGCTATTACACCAATGTTTTCTTTTTCCAACCATGGTTATTCAGAATTCTTAGAGACTAATCTTAATCTGTAGACACCCCAGGAATCCCAAAAGACCAGAAGCAAGAAGAGAAAAAAGAAAAAGTATGTGGGGTGGGGCTTCCAGGAATATGTTTATTATGTCTATATAATTTCTCCTAACTTTGGGGGGGGTAGCAAATTCCTCAAGAACACAGCAACATTATTTGAAAATCTTTTGAGATGATCTGAAACCTCACGCAAACTTCTGGTTGTGAAATTGCTCATTTAGTTTCACATTGTGGGACCGAATAAAGATGCAGTAACATTACTCTCAAGGCAAAGCTGGATGCCAGCGGAAACAGGCACAGAAGAAAGAACCATTTATTTTTCACTGGAAATGCTTGGGCTGTGCAGAGCCCGAAATGTAAGAAACTTGAGTCTTCTGCTCTTCCTCCTTCTCAGCTTTCCTCAGGGAGCTATGAAAGTGGACGGTTTGGGGGT